ATCAAAAGATTATATAATATAATATCAAGTTTAGACATAACGCATCATTATCAGATAATTTATCATAAGAAAAAATTTCTTTATTAAAATTTCTTTTATTAAATGATTGCTTCAAAGTAATAAAGGTATCGATCATCCCAGTAAATGAAATGGAATTATTGAATAAACAGAAACTGAATTGAATATATGAAATAAAAAAGAATTAAGAAAAATTAAAAAATTTGTCAGAATACTGAAGATAACTGAATAAAAGAATGAAACGTATATTATCACTGTCTTAATGAATTGATAAATTATAATTTCGCTGTAATAATTGGCGTAGGCTTTTTATATTCCTTTGCCAAATTAAGTTTGATTTAGTTGAAAGCCGTTATACAATTTGTGAAAAAGAATTAATTTTTAGCCAAAATGTGAATTCTTTTAAATCCCATTCAACGATCCTTGTCCCATTCCATTTTATTTATTGGGATACGAGCAATAAATCACACAAAATTCTCGGTCTCCCCTATATCTATAATCTATATATAGGGTTATGACTGATAAACGGATTCGTGAGAGTCGTCGATACTCAACAAATCTCAGTTTCTTTTATCGCCATGTTTTTGATATACGATAATGTTATTATTGGTTAAAGTTTATCGGAATCTTCCCCTCTTTTTTTATCGTACCTAGTGAAGATCTCTCTAGTTCTGATCGAGTCAGTCTGTTCTCTAAACTGCTAATAACACATTTCCGACTTGTCTGTAAATTTACCCGTATTATCATTGAATGAAGTTTAGAAAGAAGGTCAGAAGATAGTTGTCGAACCTTTTTAATACTTTACATATTACGGTGCGTCTCGCTCGTAAGAAAACTCATAATTTGCTTCATAACACAACATGTCTTTCCAAAATTTAAAAGTAGAGCGTATAGAAGACCAATTGATGATTACTTTATCGAAATTGTATCCAATTCACAAGCCCGATGCTTTAGTTAAGATCGGAGAGAAGAAGTGGTCTATGTCAGATAACTACATTGAGAACGGTGACAAAATTTATAATTTTGAAATTCGTCCGGATGATACATGGGTCGTTACTTATCCTCGATCAGGTAAGTTATCTTTGCCTTAATAAGACATCATCATTTTTTATAATATTAAATTTTATTTGTTTTTTAAAAGAAATATATTTTATTTTAATTTAGTGCATACTAATTTTAGTTCTTTTTTAAATTTTAACTTCTTAGCAAATAGAGATATAACTACAATATAATATATAGAAATAACATATGTTTTGTCTAAACTATTTTCATATTTAGAGATATTAAAGAAATTTTCTTCAGAGATGCTAAAGATTTTGCGAGTTATTAACATGTCGTGATTCATTGCTCAATGTTTCGTGCTGAATTACTGCACTTCTTGTTCTGATGCAGTGAACAGCAAATTTCACGAAACATGAATGTCAGCAACACTAAAGAAAAAATATCCCAATAAACTGATCAATAACTGATGAAATATCATGAATTAATCAGTTTATTGGAACAATTTTTCTTAAGGAAAATGCGCATATTTATCGAAAAGTAAAGTGTGAATACAATATATATAGATCTTAAACTATACATAGAAGTTACAGAAAATATCATGATTTCAGAATTCATGAAATTAAAATATTTAATATCTTCAAACGTTGACAAAATGTTAATAAAATTCATATTGTGTTGATTAGGTACAACTTTGATGCAGGAACTCGTATGGTTGGTAGCGAACGACATGAACTTTGACGAAGCGCAACGAAGAACTTTATCAGACAGATTTCCCTTTATAGAGTATATTTTATATAAATATTATAGAAATAAATAAAATTCGCATTTTCTAGATTCATAATACGATGGAAAACAAATTTTTGCATGATTTTCAATGCAATTTTTGCGTCGAACTTGCGTCTAAAACTGTAAAAATTCAACAACAACTTTAATTGTACATATTTCAAATTTGATGAAAAATTCAGAAAAGTTGAATATTCATTTTATACTGTTTTTACAAATTTAAAAAAAATCACGAAAATATTGTTATTTCAGAAAACACTATACTACATAAAAACATTTTTTCTTTGTTTTAGCATGGAAATATTATCAGATAGTCAAGAAATGTTGACCATCATGTCTAATAAAGAAAAGAAAAATATAGATAAGTATACTGTCAAATTCGTGCAAAATCAATTGTCGCCACGTTTTATTAAAAGTCATTTGCCTCTTGAACTATTGCCGACAGTCATAAACAGCGATTGCAAGGTATTTACAACTAAATATTTTTTAAATTAAATATACATTTAATTATAATATTTACAAAATGTACTATATTTATGAAAACGGAAAACTATATTAAATTGAAGTAAATAATTTATTTGAAATTGTCATTAAAATTCATTAAGGAATAAAACTTATATATATTAAAAGATTTCTTATAAAAATTGGATTTAACACGTTTATAACATCGAACATTCTGTGTATGAATTGCTGTATTCAATCTATTTGAAATGATATCAAAATATTTTTACATATTAATTTATATGTTAAAAAAATGAAAGAGATTTATATACTTTTCAAAAACATTGTTTTTATTTATAGATCATCTATGTTGCTCGAAATCCAAAAGATGTAGTAGTCTCATATTATAATTTCCAAAAAGATTACAAACTTTACCAGTACCAAGGGACTTTTGAACAATTCTGTAATAATTTCATGGATAATCACGGTAAGTTTGCAAGTTCTCGATCGTTAATTTCGGTAACTTTTGCTTATATTTCTTATTATTTCAGTCCACTATAGTCCATATTGGGAACATATAAAGGAAGCTTGGGCAATGAGGCATAAAGCAAACTTGCTGTTCCTTTTCTACGAAGATTTGATAAAAGTGAATTGAGAAAAACTCTAGTATTATATAATATCCTAAAAAAATTTCCGCTATTTTTTAGATAAAGATCGTAAAAGATTTAAAATACATATTTAAGAACATCAAACTTTAAGACATTATAATTTCTAAAGATAACATTTCCATTTATGATGCTTAGGATTTACCTGCAATCATCAAGACGATCGCCGTGTTTTTCGATAAGGCTTATAGCAATGAGCAAATTGTCAAGTTAATGGAGCATTTAAAGATAGAAAACTTCCGGAAAAACCCTATGGTAAATCAACCAAGTCCTAGATCGGTGATGGAACCCAAACAGTTTGTTCGAAAAGGAAAAGTAAATGCTTGGAAAGAAACATTCACACCAGAGATAGAGGAAAAATTTAATAAGTGGATCGCTGATAATTTAAAAGATACAGATCTAAGATTTCCAAACTAAATCTATAATTATAATTGTAAAAAATTCAATTCTTTATTAAATTTTGTTACAGATTAAAAAATCTAAATTTTTAAGAAATGGCAAAATTTCTTTTAATGTTAAAAATTAAATTAAAAGAAATTTTGCCATTTTCTCTTTAAAAGTTTAAATTAATTACTCATCTATAATAAAATTCAAAAAATAACTACGTATCTTTTACAATTATAATTATTTTTATATATCAAAGCTAATATAAATTGAAAATAATGAGAATTGAAGCTAATATGGTTGAACAGCATTTTACAAATTATTTCACTGGATTGTAATTATTTATGTTACGTTTTATAGGTGTAATGTGCATCCCTTATATAAATTTATATTATATTGTATTAATATAATAAAAATATATAAATATATATATATATATTT